TCCAACTGTGAGAGACCTAGGTCCTCCAGCTGTGAGAGACAAATATCATCCAGCTGTGGAAGACCAAATTCCTCCAGCTGTGAGAGACCAAAGTCTTCCAGCTGTGGAAGACCAAAGTCCTCCAGCTGTGGAAGACCAAAGTCCTCCAGCTGTGGAAGACAAAAGTCCTCCAGCTGTGGAAGACCAAAGTCCTCCAGCTGTGGAAGTCCAAAGTTCTCCAGCTGTGGACGACCAATGTCCTCCAGCAGTGAGAGATCAAGGTCCTCCAGCTGTGAGAGACCTGTCTCCTCTAGCTGTGAGAGACCAAGGTCATCCAGCTGTGGAAGACCAAAGTCCTCCAGCTGTGGAAGTCCAAAGTTCTCCAGCTGTGGAAGACCAATGTCTTCTAGGTGTGAGAGATTAAGGTCCTCCAGCTGTGAGAGACCTATCTCCTCCAGCTGTGAGAGACTAAGGTCCTCCAGCTATGAGATTAATGTCCTCCAAGTGTAAGACCAAAGTCCTCCAGCTGTGACAGACCTGTCTCCTGTAGCTATGAGACCAATGCCCTGAAGGTGTGAGAGACCAAGGTCATCCAGCTATCAAAGTCCTCCAGCTGTGAGAGACCAAAGTTTTTCAGCTGTGAGAGACAAAAAACATCCAGCTGTGAAAGACAAAAATCCTCCGGCTGTAAGACCAATGTCCTCCAGCTGTGGAAAACCAAGGTCCTCCAGCAGTGACAGCCCAAGCTCCTCCAGCTGTGAGAGACCTGTCTCCTCTAGCTGTGAGAGACTAAGGTCCTCCAGCTGTGAGAGACCTGTCTCCTCTAGCTGTGAGAGACCAAAGTCATCCAGCTGTGAGAGACCAAAGTCCTCCAGCTGTTTGAGACCAAGTCTTTGAGCTGTGAGAGACCTGTCTCTTCTAGCTATGAGAGACCAAAGTCCTCAAGCAGTGAGGGACTTGTCTCCTCTAGCTGTGAGAGACCAAAGTCATCCAGCTGTGAGAAACCTGTTTCCTTTAGTTGTGAGAGACCAATGTCCCAACTGTGAGAGACAAAGGTCCCAGCTGTGAGAGACCAAGGTCTTCCAGCTGTGAGAGACCAAAGTATTCCAGCTGTGAGAGACCTGTCTCTTATAGCTGTAAGAGCAATGTCCTTGAGCTGTGAAAGACCAAATTTCTCCAGCTGTGAGAGACCAAAGTCCTCCAGCTGTGGAAGTCCTGTCTCCCCTGTCTGTGAGACCCAAGTCCTCCAGCTGTGAGACCAAAATTGTCTAGCTGTGAGACCAAAGTCATCCAGCTGTGAAAGACATGTCTCCTCCAGCTGTGGGAGACCAAAGTCCTCCAGCTGTGGAGACCTGTCTCCTTCAGCTGCGAGAGACCTGTCTCTTCTAGCTTTGAGAGACCAGTCATTCAGCTGTGAGAGACCTGTCTCCTCTAGCTGTGAGAGACCAAGGTCCTCCAGCTGTGAGAGATCAAGGTCCTCCAGCAGTGAGAGACCTATCTCCTACAGTTGTGAGAGACCAAAGTCCTCCAGTTTAGAGACCTGTCTCCTCTAGCTGTGAGAGACCAAGGTCATCCAGCTGTGGAAGACCAAATTCCTCCAGCTGTGAGAGACCAAAGTCTTCCAGCTGTGGAAGACCAAAGTCCTTCAGCTGTGGAAGACCAAAGTCTTCCAGCTGAGAAAGTCCAAAGTTCTCCAGCTGTGGAAGACCAATGTCCTCCAGCTGTGAGAGATTAAGGTCCTCCAGCTGTGAGAGACTAAGGTCCTCCAGCTGTGAGATGAATGTCCTCCAAGTGTAAGACCAAAGTCCTCCCGCTGTGACATACCTGCCTCCTCTAGCTATGAGACCAATGCCCTGCAGGTGTGAGAGACCAAGGTCATCCAGCTATCAAAGTCCTCCAGCTGTGAAAGACCAAAGTTTTTCAGCTGTGAGAGACGAAAGCCCTCCAGCTGTGAAAGACAAAAATCCTCCAGCTGTAAGACCACAGTTCTCCAGCTGTGAGAGACCTGTCTGCTCTAGCTGTGAGAGACCAAAGTCATCCAGCTGTGAGAGACATGTCTCGTTTAGCTGTGAGAGACCAAGGTACCAGCTGTGAGAGACCAAGGTTCTCCAGCTGTGAGAGACCAAAGTCTTCCAGCTGTGAGAGTCCTGTCTCTTCCAGCTATGAGATACCAAAGTACTCAAGCTGTGAGAGACCTGTCTCCTCTAGCTGTGAGAGACCAAAGTCATCCAGCTGTGAGAGACCTGTCTCATTTAGCTGTGAGAGACCAAGGTACCAGCTGTGAGAGACCAAGGTTCTCCAGCTGTGAGAGACCAAAGTCTTCCAGCTGTGAGAGTCCTGTCTCTTCCAGCTATGAGATACCAAAGTCCTCAATCTGTGAGAGACCTGTCTCCTCTAGCTGTAAGAGACCAAA